GAGAGCAGGCGGGGCAGATCACACTGGATCTCCTTGCAGAACCCAGGAAAATCCAAATTTCAGGCTGCAGGGGTAACTCATAGTGGTACCTCACTAGCATGCAGAGTTCCTGAGGTCTGTCTCGAATACCTCACAATAAAACAAAAGAAAGGAGGAAAGAATAGAGAAGGAAAGAAAGAAAGAAAGATATAATCTTCAGCCATGGCCAGACTAGTCTCCCCTGAATCTGTGGACATGGGTCTGAACATGAGGAGTTTTCAGAGTCCTGCACCAGACACCAAACACAGCAGCCAAGCTTGGCAACCAAGCACGAGACTAAGGACCATGACAGTAAGTCAGGACAAAGAGATATTGCTGAATACTTTAATCAGAGAGTTTATTTGATGTGGCTGTTTTCTTTTCTTTTCTTTTTAGGGGAAAAGAATTCTTATCATTATTATTCTGTGATTTACATGAAAAATGCAGCAGTCCTACCTTGAAATGAAAAATCACAGCACTGGGGACAATTCTCTGACTTACATAGAATGGCTGATTTGAAGATCTGAGGATCTCACCCTGAGTCTGAAGTGATCTCCACACCTCCTCCACAGGAAAGAAAAACTCTGGCCAGAGAATGAGGGCATCCAGCCTTCACTAATCAGGATGAGTAAGATTTCTGGCAGCAAATGAAGCCCGCAGCTCTTGCAAGATGCTACTCATCTCTCAGACAGCATCAGGACCTTGACATCACCCAAGGCTAAGGGAGTCCACAGGAACATCCAGGGACAACTCCAGGGACATCACCAAGGCTAAGTGCTGGGAACATATGCTCTGTGGCCACTGAGTAGATATTGCACCTAAGCCTCAGCCCATACTCCAGCCTCACCATTTAATACTGTGCATGCACTGTCACCATTTGTACAAGAAAATATCATATGGATCCTCTAATTCAGTTTTCTATGGGTATAATTGAAAATACTACTCAGTAGTTCTTAACAGCTCCCATACAATTCCCCAAGAGAGAAATGACCTTCTATGTGTACTAGAAAAGTTAGCCAGACATGAGACCAGGAATTTTTCCAAGGTGAGAAATGTGTGACATAATACCTTATTTTCTTTGAATTAGAGTTTGAGAAACTCAAAGCTAGAGCACATCCACAATCACAGAACTTTTCTCTTTTTAGAATAGTTTTATAGCACTAAATTTTACATTTATGAAAAGTGTTGTTTTCAATATATATTTCTATTGATTTTGGCATATGTATAACTATGTTTTCAAACCCCATTTGGTCTGTAAAGCAGGTCCAGCACCCATCGACATTTCTGGATGCACTCTGTTCACTCACCACAAACTCACCTGAGACTCACTGCTGCCTGCACCCTGCATAAATGCTCTAGATGTTTCACATGCTCATCCTCAGCTTCCCTGTGACGGGGACATCACAAACTTTGAATTTCTCTATGAAAATGTTTTTTCTTACCTTTGTGGAGTATACATCAGTTACTCCTATTGTAAATCTGTAAGTTTCTCATGTGTAGGTGAAGCTCTCATCTTGGTGCACCCATTGTACATCTGTGCATGGCACTGCCTACATCACCGTGTGCTTCACCTCATACCACTGAGCACATCTGTCATCTCAGTGAACACCTGGATACCAAGTAAATAAAGAAAGGCCCTTTCACACAGAGACAACTTGAAGACCCAGTGCAGAACTTTAACAATTATAAGTGGTCCATGACACTCAGCTGCATTGTCTCTGTGCTTCAGAGAACAGTCAAGGCTTATTTCTAGTTGAAAATGGAATCATGAATGGAATTGGTTAGTACATTGGAAGATTTCCGTCTTCAGAAACAGAATTCTTTGAATTAACTGAGGTGGAAAGACTGAAAGTTAGGTTGTCTGGGGCACAAAACAACATCCTTCATTCCTGTGGACTGAGGTTTCTCAGCACTGACACTTGGAAAGCACACAGGTAGCACACACAGGTGTGACTTGGACAGGTGCAAGAGATGAACTGCTGGGAGACAGAAAGATGAGGGACAAGGGATCACAGACACCTCTAGGAGTAGGAAAGGGACAGATTCACTTCTAGATCTTCCAGACCGAAGGCATCTTGATAGCAACCTCACTGTCACACTGAGTACTGAGCTGGGCTTCTGACCTGAGGAACTGTAACATGATGACTTTTACATGTTCAAGACATAAATTCATGTAAAATTGTATTGTGAGAGTCTTTACTGAGTTTTCCTGTTACTCTTCTATAATAAAAGTTTAAAGGCACACCAATACATTTAATTTTCTACTGACCCTGTCATATTTCTTATATGGAAGAATGAGATGTAGTCTTTAGGCAGATGGAGAGTGCAACTCCCTTGTCACATGGACAGCAAACAGCAGGACAGACACTAAAATGAGGTTTTGCTTCAGGATGAATCACATGGAGAGAATGACTACAACACTGCTGACAGTCATTATGTACTGTGCCTTCAGCTTATAAGCTGTTGATGGTAACACTGAAACCTTTTCCAGATCAAAGGCCACTGAACTGGTGAGAGACCTGGGACTCTCAGGTGTGTGTGCAGTGAGCAAGCAGTTTCTGATGGAACCAGGATGAGTAGCTGACCTGCTTAACCCTAGCCTGGGCTACACAGTGATCTTAGGGCAGCCTGAACTGAGTTCCTGCCTCAAAAGCCCAGAAAGTAAAAAAGGCTTCAAAGGAATCACTGCACAAAGAACAATTTTAACTAACCTAATAATTGAGTATATACATATATGGATTTATATATATAGCTATGTGTATACTTTTATAGATGTATATTCACTTGTGTGTATATAAATTGGTACATACTAATATGTAAATACTCATATGGATACATTTCTATAAATAAATATTTATAATACACATTTACATGTTAACATATATTCAGACTCGTATAGTTAACATGTCCATGTCTAGATACCAGGACAATATATTCACCTCTGCCCAGGAACTGCAGCTCATTACCTAACGTACAATAATTTCTGCTTCTCTACTTGACTTCAGCAGGTCACCTAGGTCTCTACCTGAAATAAGAATATTTTTTATCTTCCTTCACATCCTTTTGACAGCAGTGTCCTTATGGAGATTAATCACTTGGCCGGGAAGACTTGCTGACATGGTTTCTAACATCACAGTAGCTCGCCTGAAAATGACAGTTGCTAAAATCGTTTCCTGGCACCAAGGTGTCACTAGCAGAAAACTCTCTGATGAGCAGTAATGGTGAGGAGGGAGTGATCTATCTTATTGGGGAGAGAACTTTGCACTGTGTTCAATAGAGACTCAGCCTTGCACAATGGGATCCTTCCTCCCGCGGATGGATGCCACATGGACTTTTTTTCTACTGCTTTTCCCCAAAATACACAAGATTTTGAGATGAAGTTTATTTTCTTCCATTTCATTTACCACTGATTCCAGAGAGACAAATAGGGAACCTTAAGAGTCCAACAGGTCCAATAAGTGAACTTTTCAACCTCTTGAAGTATTCAGAAATAAAACACACTCAGAAGATAAAAGCACCCAATGGTGCATACCTGTGACTGCAGCACAGTGGTGCCTGAGGAGGAAAATAGACAGCTGGAGATGAAGCTGAACAAGTGAACAACACAATGATACCCTGTCTCAAAATGCAAAGAACTGTTGTTGTAGCTAATTGTGAATATCCCAGGTTTAAGCCACAGCACGCGCGCGCGCACACACACACACACACACACGACGATGAGCACATCCAGAGAGTCTTTTATTTACAATAAAAGCACACGTTACAAAATCCTTATGTGTTTATTTTTCCATGAACCCACTTTACCAAATGTGTAAGGGTACACTGCAGCTCTTGGCCTGTCATGAAACATATAGTATCATTACAGACTGAAAACAGCATGGCTTCATTCTCTTAGGGCTTTGGAGAAAGTATGAAATTGACCTTCTTTCCACAGTGACCATTTTAGATAAGGTCCAGAAAGTTTCAGCCATTGATTCAAATGACATTGAGACATTAAAAAATCAGATTCAATAGTGACATTCTGATACTGACAATGTCTCTTTAAACTACAGACCATGGCTACTCAGTATTTGTTATAAGAGTAGAATTGAGAAGGATGATTTATGATCACTCAGAAAAGAGTAGTGTAATATTATTCTGCATTCACTTTGCACAAGATCAAGAGAAATCTTTTTTCTTAATAAAGGTTTTAATAAACCAGATAGATAGATAGATAAATAGATAGATAGATATCATATTATACGTATCTACAGGGAGAGACATGATTACATATTTACCAATTTCTAAGTCTACTTACAAATAATTTCATGTGAATTATATAAGGCATATTTTTTCCTTTTAGTCTTGCCTTCAAAAGAGTTACTTCCCTCCAGCTAGAAGACAGTTACTTTATCTCTGTATCGTATTGTGTTGACTTTAGTGCTCTTATGCTGTTTAATTTCTAGATAAAGGAAAATATTGTTTCTCATCTTCTTTCTAGATGATGAGAGTTCACCTAGTCAGAAGGGCTTCACAGCTCTGCTACAGGCTGTTAATGATAGAAAATACTAAAAATGCATTCTCATCAAGTGAAAATCACTTCCTTTCCTTCCAGGAGGCCTAGAAGCACAAGACTTTTCCCCTCCCAGAGACTGATCTGCACACACTCCCATATCATAGGGACTGCAGTTCTGTCTGGGAAGGGCAGAGCCCTGAGCACTGTGTCCCTGCTGGAGGTGAGGATTTTCTTAGGGATCCCTGTACCCACTGCTGCACACAGCATGTAGTTTAGCTGCATTGCTTGCTCAAAATGCAGAAGGAATTTTATAATACTTGGCTCACATGAGAAGCCTCCCACAATGCTCTTCACTCTTTCTGCACCACTGCACCCACCAGGGAATTTGCATTTTCTCCCCAGGAAAGACCTTCCCAAGCAAGTCTCAGATAAATTCTGGTTCTAACTTGGCCCTGACTGATTAGAAATCTCAGTTCAATTTCGCAAAATGAGGCTCCCTCTTCAGCTCCTGGGGGTGCTACTGCTCTGGATCACTGGTAAGGACACAGGGAGATGAGGAAGGGTATGGGAGGAAGGGGTGAATTTCTGGGTCAAACTGCTGCCTCGATGAGTTCTGTGCATACCTGAGATGTGCAGCCCTGACGTGAAGCATGGATGTGTGTATTTCTATGAGGGAATTAAGAAAATTTCTAAAGCCTCAGGAGTAGGCCTCTCATGAAGAGTGACACAAAGAAAGATATGGGTAGGGAGATGAATTCAAGAGGAATCCTTGTGATTAGATCTTGTGAGTTATTTCAAAACTAATATTAGTTCCCTTTATATTAAAATTACATAATAGTTAAGCTTGACATTTACAAAAAAGAGAACAGGGTAAAAATGCATGATGATGTTTGTATCTGAAGTTGCACTTACTTTTCTTTCTTCATTTTAGGATCCTCTGGAGATGTTGTATTGACCCAAACCCCACTATCCCTCTCTGTCACCCCTGGAGAGCCAGCCTCCATGTCCTGCAGGGCCAGTCAAAGTCTCCTTCACAGCAATGGAAACACCTATTTGCACTGGGTGGTACACAAACCAGGCCAGGATCCACGAAGAATGATTTATCAGGTTTCCGATCAGGAATCTTGGGTCTCTGACAGGTTCAGTGGCAGTGGGTCATGGACAGATTTCATTCTCAAAATCAGCAGGGTGGAGGCTGAGGGCGCTGGAGTTTATTACAGTGTGCAAGGTACACATGATCCTGCCCCGGTGCTACAGCCCGAACACAAACCTCCCTGCCTGAGGAGGCCCAGCTGCCCTCCTGCACTGCTGTCTGGGGAGCAGCACATCACAGACTGCTCTGTGTGAGAGGAAGAGGCTGAAGAATCAGAACAACAGGTTGTAGCTGAGGCCTCTGCCTGGGACTCTGAATGAGGAAGAAAGCAAAGGAACAGAGACTGCGTTCTGCTGAGGACTCTGACACAGAGACAGAATGTTGAAACTGGCTATGAAGGGTTCCTTTGAGCTTTAAAAGCTCTGTTACCTGATGAAACCGAATGAAACCAAATCAATCTCACATTGAGTTCAGCCTAAAATGAGTAATAACTAAGAAAAGGCATATTGGATATGCACTTCCATGTTAACGTATCACAGTCCAGTTTGGATACAGTGAACAAGCATTTTCCTCTCAGCCTGTGTGTCACTCCTGGAGAGCTGCCTCTATCTGAAAAGGTCAAATTTGTAGAGATCTTTGCTATGCTCGCAGTGTTGTGTTCCTGAGACTCCATGGACGTTCATGAAGTGGTGCATCTTGCAGTGTTCTTAGTCTTACTGACTCCTTGGGTAAGGAAAGATCTTGGCCTGAAGAAACTTCAGTCCTGTCACATCTCTCTCATCAGTATAGCATGGCATCCAAATCATGTTCCTGGCTGTTCACATACTGGGAATGACCTGAGAGATGTTGTAGGATTCCACAGTTGGTGATATCCAGGAATACAGCTACAATACAAAGAGGGCAAACAAATTCTCAGAAAATGTCTCACAGCTGTTAGCAGAAATTCAATTTGCATTTTATGGGACATTTTTGCCCCTGTTCTCTATTGCTACTGACAAAGATATATGGGTTTTAGTCTCCACAAAAATCTTTGTTTCCAAGCATTTTACAGGCAAACAAAACATGGAGAACTAATACTTCTAGACGTAAGGTTGGTAACTCACACATCTGCTCATCCTCATGATGGCTGATAAATCTCAAAAGGCTCCATTTCTTCCTTTTTATGAAAGTCCTCCAAGACCACTGCTATCCTCAAACTTAGGTTTAACATGAGACAAATGAAGACTCTGATAATATGCAGTTTGATGCCCGTTTGCTCTTCATGGCCTTCCAGACAGCTTACAAAGTAGACATTAAAAAGTTCCTCTAATGTCATATTCCAAGTCATCATGTCATTTTATTTCCCAGTCCTGAATACAGATTTTTGAAAGGTAGGTACATCCTGGCTATATTTTAAAGTAACAAAAATATATTTGCTGACATTCTGGACATGAGCTGAGACAGAAAAACAAAATCAAATCCTGCCTTATATTTGGAAAGGATCCACCACAGAATTTTCTATGAAGCTTCCTTAGATGGGAAGACAGAAAAAGCAACACTGGGAAACAAGGGGAAATAAGGACTTGCAATGGAACATATTTCCAATACTGAGATGGCCCCAGACCTCCACTCAACAGCTGTCCCACGGAACCTGCATATGTGAGATTTTGAAGCTCTGGGAGGTGATTGTGCTTGAGATGCAAATTTAAGAATAGAGTTGAAGTCACCAAGAAATGAAAGTAAGTAGGTGAGAGCAGATTGGTCCCTACCAGGCAACCCAGTTCTCAGCAGTCAGGACACAAAGAGAAACCCACACCGGAGGCTGTCGAATAGCAGTTACCGGTGGGAAGGACAGAGACAGAGAAAAAGAGAGAGAAACAGAGACAGATACAGAGACAGAAGCAGAGAAACAGAGAGATGAGGGGGAAAAAAGAAAAGGAGGTTTTAGAATCAAAACAGAGTTTTAAGAGACCTTTTACATTTCACAAATGTAAAATAAAGTGTTGAATGAATGTAGGAATGTCCTTAGGGCAGGGTGTTATAAATAGCCCAAACATTGTGCCTCTTGGATCACAGCTCTTTCTGGGCAGGGACAAGATTTGAAAGGTTACCTTTAAAAGAGACGGCCCTTTGCTTCCACCTATTGGTCAGTACTTGAAGAGCAAGTTTCCCTGAAAATTGCTAACATTCCCCTTTCAGGTGTCTTCAAATATTTTTTCTACCATGCTGTTGCAATAGCAAACAGAAAAACCAAAATGACACACAGGTTTAGGAGGCTGATTTATTTATAGTGTTGGGAAGTGACAAGAATCAATCCTTGTAAGAATGTCAGAATACAAAGACTCAGGGAGAGAGGATTTTATATATTGCAAAAGGGAAGTACACAGGTAGAGCACTTGGCTGTCTCTCATTGGTTCTTGCAATATGTATCAAAGTCACCAGCTGTGCATCACAATGACCATCCTTTGTAAGAAGCAGAAGTAACAGAAACTGACAGGAACTGCTATCTGGGCAAGAAACAGTAACTCAGGTACCCTGGCAGGGAGTGCAGGGCTGTTTCTGCTGCACTGTGATCTGCTTTAATAAGTGCAGATCTCCTTGCCTTAAAGCTGTGAAGAATCTGATACCGCACATGTACCATTATGTCCTCAGAATATGATGTTCAAGCTCATTTGCTTAGTTCAGCAAGTTTCATTCCCAGTGTTCTTCCCCTGATTTGAACCCATTCTCTTGCCTACCCACAACCCCGGCAACTACAGGTCACAAGTCATTCTGTGCCTTGCAGCAACTCTCCTCTCTTGTACCTGATATCACAGGCTTATTACTCTCTTCTCAACTGATCTGATGGCTATACCTAGTAATAAAACTAATCTCTATCATAAATTCAAAGAGTTGCACAAATACTAATGAGTTCCACATGTACAACAGAGCCCCTCTGACACTTTCTCTGGGATGTTCTCTAAAATAGAAATTATACTTCTCATAGAACAATCTAAAGTGTAGGTAACTGAACTGAAATTATCCCATGCATATCATCAGACCATGTAATAATGAAATTTGAAATCAATGGCAAAAGAAACCAAAGAATTAGCTCACAGGTATAGCTTAGAGGCATAAGTGCCTGCCCGGCCAGTGCAAAGTAGGGAATGCCATTCCAGATATCGAGAAAGAAAGAAAGAAAGAAAGAAATAAAGAAAGAAAGAAATCACAAGAACTTCATAAACATATGGAAATTAAATAACACCATCCTGAACAACCAAAGGGTCACACATGAAATTAACAAAGAAATTAGACAATTTCTAGACTTAAAAGATAATAGTAGTACACCATACTGGAACTTGTGGGATATGATGAAAGCAGTCCTATAAAGGAAACATATAGCAGTGAATATACATATCAATAAACAGAGCAAGCTCAAATAAACAACTTACTGTTGAACCTCAAAGTTATAGAAAAAGAAGAGCAGGTCAAGCCTAAGATCATGTGAAAAGAAAATTACATATCATGACAGAAATTAATGCAATGGAAACTAAGAAATCAAAGCAAGATATCAATGAAAGATTAAATAGGATGGAAACAAAACCCTAGCCAGACTAATCAAAAAAAAAAAAAGGAAGGAATCAAAAGACTAACATCCATGCAATTAGGAATCAAAATGGTGAAACTGCAACAGATCCCACAGAAATTTAAAAGTTATCTATATCTACTTCAACAATTTGCATGCCAATAAGAGACAAATGGAGTAGAAATACACAAAATTTTTGATACATAAGAGGTACCAAAGCAAAGGGTCTGGGGATTTAGCTCAGCAGCATAAGCACCTGCCTTGCAAGCAGGCAGTTGTGAGTACCAATAAAAAAATAAAAATAAAAATAAAAAAGAGTTACCAAAGCAGGATCAAGAAGATATAAAAATTCTAAATAAACCAATTTCAGTCAGTGAAATTCAAGATGTAATTAAAGATATAAACATACAAAAAACCCCAGGGTTCAATTCTATAAGAAATTTTGACAAGACTTAAATGCCACTACTTCTTAAACTCTATAATGTTCATTGCAGCTAGATATTACCAGAACCTCTCCTCTCTTTGTTGCTCAGTATTTGTTGTAACTATTAGCAAAAATTTCTAGTCCAACTGTCCTACAACATTGAGCATAAAAACAGAGCAATGAAAAAAAAAACGAGCTACTAACATGCCTCAAAATTTAATAGTTCCACAGTAGCTATCTGGCAGTCAATAAAGTAAAGAAAGTGCGCAGAAAAGAACTCAGAAAACAAATGGTTAAATGTTTGAAGACATCAAAGAAGAACATGCATATCATGTTCAGAGCTCAAAGAGAAGGCAAACAAGCTAAACATTTTAATTAATAAGACATCCAACAAGAAGACACAAGCACTGACTGTACACCTCAGACAATGCAGGATGTGAATGAGGGACCTAGGGAATAACTAACTGATGGTTATAAGAAAGAAGAAAGCACAATTCCTGGAAGGGAAAAGCACAGCTGAGCACCATACCAGCAGAAACCAGCAATTGGAAGAGAAAACATCAGAAATTCAGGACAAGAATGCGGTAGCACATGGTGCAGATATGCTCCATGAAATAGAAGAAGTCATGAGAAGTTGATCTGAGAGTGATAGATTACTGTTAGTTTTTATTAAAAATAAAATACAGAATGAAACAAAAACCAGTAGAAGAATATAAAAAGATAAAAAAACACAACCCCTTAACAAACTGTCAGCATAATAGATTAATATTTTGATTCTTACATTTCTGTAAAAATAAAAGTCCCAGAATAGTCTAAACAACTTCAACGAGGGAGCAAAATTAGAGCTGCAACCCTCCTCCACATAGATGGCTCAGAAGACATAACCTAAGCATTACAGAGGTCAATGAAAGGCTGGAGAAACAAGGTGAAGGTCTAAATATGTTATTCCCCCTGCACAACACTTTCAAATCTAGACACTGAAAAAAAATCCAAATAATGAGGCATTTAAAGCTCCAAGTAGCTACAACCAGAAAAGAATCTCTCCACAACACATTATAGAAAACTCCAAGATATCAGAACGAAGAAACAACACTAACTGCCACTAGAGAAAAATATCAAATAACTTCTAAAGACAAACGTATCCAAATATCACCAGATTTCTTAACACAAATTTGGGGACAAGGGAGCTTGGAGGAGAGTACCAAGTAACAAAAAAAAAATCAATGCACATAATAATTACCTACCAAAATATATTTCCAAATTTAGGAAGAAATAAAGAATTTCTA